ATAGAAACCACAAAACAATAACAACATGTTTTACAACAAACTTTGATTTGTGTAACAAAACAATATGAGTGTGTGTGTGTTCGTGCGGTTTCAATCAACCATATCGAGATAAAAAGTATCTAAAATCAACATTGATTTGTTAAATTTGACCTAAAAGTATGCTGCAACTAATTAAAATAAAACAGTAACAAAAGATTTGTATCTTCCATTGGCAAAACCAACATGTGTTGGCTTTTATCAAAGAGAGAGAGAGAGAGAGAGGGAGAGAGAGAGAGATTCTTAGAAAGTTTACCAATTAATTTCTACACAAAGGACACGTTTTGTATTAGACCATAAACAAAGCCTTAAAGTATGCACAACTTTTTCAAAGATAAATATTTTTTTCTAATTCATTGGCCGCAATTAGTGCAAAATGTTTATGGCAAATTTATAGACGGCAAAAACTTGCATTACTTGAATGTATCGGAAATAAAATTTTTGAATTTAAATTATTGACTTCGTCAACAGTCATGCATACATACAGTGGAACATGTTTATAATGAACACCTGTTGTTTTCATAACGTAACCTTAGCAATGTCTTTTTGAGGTATAAATTATACCCACACTGATATAAAAACTTATTTTTTTATTCAAAATAATAATAACAACAGTAAGGGTCTTCCACTGTATTTGGAATATAAATGATACAATTTTATGGGAATTAAAATTATTTTCTTAATTCAAAATTATATAATAGTGATAATAATAAAAATAACAATGTTCCACAGCATTTTCAACAGGAGTTGACTGTAATCGCTTTTGCATAAATTAGTAACAAATCAAATGTGAGAATATTCATTAACCAAAATAGGCAATTTGTAAACAAATAAATTACCAAAGTTTTGAGTTACTAAAGTGCGATCCATTGTCTGTCCCGAAGACAGTGTGTTAGTATTACATGTTTATATGTCACGTACACACGTACATATATCTCAGCACACATTCGTAAATGATCAATAGTATTCAAAACATGTTTTGACACGGTACCAATGATACATGTTAAGTATGTTGTATAATTTCGACTAAAGGTTAGCATGCTACATTTTCAAAATACTTCTAAGAAATTTCCAGTTAAGGGGTTATTTCGAAAAAAAAAATATATATATGTATTCTGGGAAACAAATACAATTAATCATTGCTCTGTTCCAGTACTGCAAGATCGCCGAATTTTCCTTTAAGAAATAGGAAAAAAATTGCCAAATTAGCAGATTCTTGCAAGTTTTGGAATAGAGCATATACAGGGTGAGATGAAAAAACTGAATGCGATGGAATTGAAGCGTGATAGGGTGATTTCCTTATATTTAGCTGGAAAAACACAAGTGGCTATCGTTAGAGCACTCCAGCATTTAAATGTGAATAAGTCTTTTGTGTCTCGTACCATCACTAGTTACCGTGGAAATGGACGGAAAAAAACCGCAACATCAGCAGAAATGGTTCGAAAAGTAAAGAAGCGACTTGATCGAAACTCGCGTCGCAATGGCCGAAAAATGGTTCGTGAGCTAAACATATTGCAATATTCTATACGGCAAATACTGAAAAATGAGCTGATCGGGGTAAAACCAGTGAAATTCAAAAAAGTGCAAGAACTACACCGCAACAGAAAGCAAATAGACTCAAAAGAGCTAAAGATTTGCTTCACTGCCGAATTCGGTTTGGTGGTCTCCGATGAGAAAACATTCGTTGTCCAGCAGTTTGTAAACAAACAAAATGATCGTGTTTACTTGCCAAAGAGGTCAGCTGAAAATGTGCACCCTCGGTTGGCCACCAGAACTCAAGCGCCGGCCATGGCCGGCCATAACAGCCGATGGTCGCTCTCTGCTCGTATTAATCGACCGTGGCATCAGAATAAATGCCGAATATTATCGCGAAGGGTGGAGGGAGGGTGTATTAAAGCGTTGGGTACGCAAACATTTTGGGCGCAGACCTTGGACATTCCAACAGGACTCAGCACCATCGCACTCAGCACGCGCCACCCAAAATGGTTACAAAATGAGGTACTCGCTTAATTTCCAGCGCACAATGGCCACCAAAATCTCCGGATACTATTCCGTTGGACTATGATGTCTGGAGTATTTTGGAAAGCAAGATTGGCACTAAAAAATACCAAAGTGTCGATCACCTCAAGCAAGCGCAGTTTTTTATCTTAACCTCTATATGTATTTACCCAATTTTAATTTTATTGAGCACCAACTAGTTAATATAATCCAAATTGAATGGATTTTATCACAAACGAATTCAACCTGGCAGACAGTGTGTTAAATTTGGTGAAAATCGGTTAAGATATAGCTATAGGTCTCATATATATGATTCATCCGATTTTGTATTTAAGTCCCTCAGATCCGTAAAATACTCACCACAACGACCATATTTGGCGCCAGTTACCAGATCCAGCAAAAAAATACCTCTGCTAAATTTTACAGAGATCGGTTCAGATTTAGATATAGCTCCGATTTAAATCTACTTGCGATTTCACCCATAAAATGTAATATCAGCTAAAACAGGATTGATTTTGATGAATATAGGTTCAAACAAAAATGCCTGCGAAAATTAGTCACATGTACATAGTGGTATAGGGTATCATAAAGTCGGCCCGCCCGACTTTAAGACTTTCTTTAAATTTTCTTTTCCTTAAAAACACACATATTCCCAACAAATTTTGATATGGTAATCCACTTTTTCCCAAAAATATTGAATACAAATACTGATTGAACCGACAAACTTTAAAACACTGCCAAGAGATAATAAAAATCGTTATAGCCAAAGAAAACATGCATAAAAATCAAACAAATAGACAATCAGTTGCACAAAAGCCTATTGTCACAAACATGCAAGAACATATCTACACACACAAACATATATATATATATATATATATATATATATATATATATATATATATATATATATATATGTGTGTGTGTGTGTACGACATGCTTGCAGCAAATAAAAATCACATAGGCTTTTAGTGTATGGCGTTGAAACATGCGAACTTTATAGCACCTATGTGTGTATGTGTGTATGAATTCGTTTTGATGCGATAATGGCATATATGTATATGCATGCATGTGTGTGTGTGTCTGTTTGGCCAATGTGCATATAAATGACAAAATAAAAACAATATTTTCTCATGAAAATTCAATTAAGTTGCTTGAAATGTTGTTAGCACCTTAACTGGTTGGCTCTTTTCCCCCACATTGTGTGTGTCTCTTTTTCGCACTCTCCGACCAACACCACTGGCTGGAATGGAAAACAAAAGTAACAACATTGGCCGCATCACGAGCCCATATGAAAATCCCGACTTACATGCCAGGGTGCTGCTACGTGCACAAATGCCAATCATTACCATTTGTAATTTATTTAAGTATGCAGTTCGAGTGTGAGTGTGTTTGTGTGTGTTCATGATAATGATATTTTCCCACCCTGGCATCCGCTGTGTCATCAGGTACCGAGAGGGGCAAATGTGTGATAATGTTGCCAAAACATATTGAATTTAAATCCTTTCTGTCACTACTGCACTCCTAACTGCATTTTCATGAACTAGATTGTCACGGATGTTGGTTGGTTGGATGGTTCGGCAAATCTATGCCATGATGCCACCAGGTGTTCTTTGCCACTTTTCTTGCACCCCGCTTTCATGTTTTTCACAAGTCTTGAGTGCAGAGCAGACCCCTTTGCCATTATGGGAAGATAATACTTTCAATTATATTTTGGGTGCCAGTGTATGTGTGTGAGTGAGTGTCTGTGTGAGAGTGCCAGAATTTTCACACAATTTCACCACATTGCCAATATTTTTTAGCTGTTTTGCGGATTTGCACATGTAATGAACCTTGGCATCCAACATATTTACAGCTGGCATTATTATTTTTTTTTTTTTGGGAGTAGAGATGCAGTTGAGGATAGAATTTTTTCAAAATGAAAAACTTAGAATTCGATCAAATAAGAAAACATGGGAATAATCGAAAATTAAGCTACTAAGCAGATAAATAGGGATAATGGGAAATTTAGCTGCTAGGCTAACAAATTGTCCTGGAAAATCTTGTGAGCCGGAGGAATATTTAGTCTGTTCATCTTGAATGAAAAATAGATAATTCATATTTGCTAGATTTTACTCGCGAGTGAAAATTTCTCGAGAGATTGAGTGCTCGAAGCATATGAATATACTCTTTGCTCTTTTGTTGGAAAGAATGATAGAGCTTCTGTTTGAGAAATCATAATGGGAGTCCAACTGCTCGAAATAGAGTAAGGGTTTACTAAAGGAATAAAATCGATTGGATTTTTTTTGTTTGCGGATTTCTTTAATGGTGCTGTGAACGAGAAGGGGCGGGGGTGGGGGAATCTTAGTCAAGAAGAGGGAAATCAGAATATTGCAAGGTACCGGTATATATTTTTTTAATTTTCTTTTTTTATTCGAATTCGTACTCCTGCCCGAATTTGTTTAATATAATCAAACTTGCTCCTATTTTATTGGAAAAAATTCTACCATACCCTGAGTACTGATTCCTAGGAGTCTTTCAAAAATTCTCCACGAATATTCACAATTCAATATTTAGCTTAAGTATAAATTCGTCCATTCTTTACTCCAAAAAGAGAATCCAATCCTATTCCTCCAATTCATACCCTAAAGAGAATCCAATCCCATTCTCTCGAGAGAATCTTAATTTACGACCTAGAAGGGAGAGAAAAAATTGTTCATATTCTCTTCTCTGAAAACAACATTCCCCTTTTAACAATACTATTTCTATGTAAGAGGAGAGAGAAAAACACTCATTTATATTCGTTCTCTCAAAAAAAAAAAAAACTCTTTTTTATAAAACATTCCTTTATTGTCCCGGTAATCCTTTGAAAATTCAAACAAATCTCAAATCAATTTCGTTTAATAATTATTTATTTATTCGATAATAATAGTCTTTACATTCTTACATAACTACTAACGTAAATATATTACAGAGATTCGTTTTTTTACCTAAACTTCTAAAAAGTGGGGAAAATACTGTTTTCAAAACAACAAACAACATTGAGACGGAAACTTTTTTTTTAAATTTCATAACTTTTTACAAACTATGAACATAGTTCACCAAAAGCGAGTCGTCCACACTGCTGGGCACAATCTCCACCGACTGGACAATGGGCTGTAAATGCAAATCGCTATCGACATCGGCGTAAACACCACCCTCTTCAATGATTTCAGCATCGGCAGTATCGACCAGAACGTAATCGGCCTCAGATTCACTCAAAACAATTGCCTCCAAATTGGAATTTTTCACTTCCTTGGGCTCTTCATCCATTGCCACCACAACAGGGGAAGCTTCCGAGGTTTCCTCAGGTTTGCTGGAGTCCTTCTTCTTTTCCTCATAGAGAGTGTCATTGATGGGAAATAGTTTGGTGGTGGGAATGGGGGTTGTCACCTGGGGTACCTCTGACTTCTCTCCTTCGTCTTCTTCTTCTTTAGTTTCTGGAGCCAAGGTGGTGACTTCTTCAGCCAAACTTGAATCAGTGGTTGTGGGTTCAACCGTGGTGGCATCCGTACTATTTTCCGATGTATCCAACTCCTCGGATTCTTCAAAATTCTCTTCTGGCAATTTTGGTTTCTCCACCAATTTGGGGGTACTCAACAACAACAGTTTTCCAAACTTTTCTTCTTGCACCGAGGGTTCAGGGGATTGCTTTGATTCTGAGGGTGCCGAATCCATTAACGTTTGATCCACAATGAGTATGGTCGCCTCTTCATCTCTTGATAAAGCTCCCAAATATTCGGGCATAGTTGTAGTTTCCTCCTCCTCATCCACCTTGATGTCATCTGTCAGAGATATTTGAGTTGTAGGATCCACTTGTTCCGTTGTAACTGACTCCACTGTTGTCACCTCAATTTTATCCTTCATTTCCTCCGAGCCACTGCGTATCACAGCTGCCTGGACAGCCACCAAGAGGCCCAATGCCAGCAGAACACAAACTTGGGAACTTTGTTTAGCCATCATTTTCCTTTGAGTTGTTAAAATTGTTGAGAATATTTTGAAACTAATTCGAAAACTGCCCACCAACTGCGTTATATAGCCGTAATCAGATATTCCAGCTGAATCGAGTGTCGCAACTCATTTTCAGAACATTCTATGGCGGATTGATGGGAATCACCGAGCAAATGGCTTCTTGCCAATTGTTTCATTGGCTGACCTCGAATGTGGCCAAAGTTGTGGTGTCAGGTTTGTTGTCGTGCTTTGCTTTGCTTTGTTTGTTTTTTTTTTGTTGGTGATGCGGAAGCCGGAAATGTAAGTACAGCGAGCAATGACTGGCCGATCGATGATGATTCATTGGCTCACTTTTGTTTTGTTTATTATTAATTAAAGTTCAATTAAATATGGTCATAAACAAAATCGCTCGACCAGACCAGAAAAGTCCAAGCCGAGTTCATTACACTTCAATAGAACAACGCGGTCGAGCAAAAGATGGGCACGAATGTCTCCAAAAGGTTGGGCGTCCCCAAAGTGTTTTGGTCTGTTTGTTATTGTCTATTTCACTCTCTTTTCCTATGCCCCCTCTTCCCTCTCCCCTTCGCGACGGTAGCCGGTTTTTTTTTTGTTTTTTGTCCACCTTTGATTCCGGCACGTTCAAGCTACCAAGCGAACGACTAACAAAGTGTCGGACTTTGTATGCCAGGCACGTCAAAACATGTTGCCAACTGACAATTTAATATTAGCAGTATTTAATTTTTGTTTTCATGCCACGGGATTTATTTACAAGCATTTCATTTGGACTCCTCCAAACTCCTTGCCATACTCCCCCTCTCATCCTGTGATGAGTGTCCTGACGCTGGCTCCCAAAGTGTCTGGGGGACACACTTTTCCATTTCATTTGCGTTATACGTGTGGCAACTTCTTGATGTGGCGGCACCCATCTGCAAAATATGTGACTGATACTCCGCCGTCCCCCCTTGAATTGATGTGGACAATCGGTGGTTTCTGCATCTGGGCATCCAATGATATTCAGTTAGCGAATCCGCAGCAGCATCCATATCTCCAGCAAATTCCGTGCGTGCGTGTGTGTGTGGAGTATTTCTATTTAGCCAACAAACTAAAACCACATCGACCCAACGCTTGACAGCTTGTGGAACGTAGACGGTACGATGACGTCAAAACGACGAACTGAAGAAACAACCATCAGCCAGAGTGAAATTTCACAATCATTGAGTTTGTGTTAGGAAAATGTTTGTGTAACAAATGGAGGGAAATTCTAAACACACACAGATACACACATGCATATATTTATGGATGTGTTGCTGAGCAGGACGAACAGTACTTGTAAATGCTTTCGCATGCGGCGCCTCTTGGTGCTCTCTGGCATTTAACTCGTTGAGAATTCGCATTAATGCCAGTTGACCGATTTGCTTTTATGCAAGATTGGTCTCGTTTGATCTATGCATATACAAATGCTTATCCTTTTAGAATACGTTGTCCTTGTTCTTGGTCTGGTCTGTATCGTTTTTCTGCTTTCGAGGTGCACTCGAGAAAAAAATTTGGAAAAAAAAATGTTGAAAGATTGCCATGATGGTCTATTTGGGTGACCTGGATCATTTGCCCTTCAGAGAGCTCCTATCACTTGATGAGACTCCCTCATCGATGTTTCTTCGAGGCAATACATCCTTTGCCATTATGGAAGTCTTGTTTCCGCCTGTCCATGATGAGATCGTTCAGTGCCACCATAAGACATGAGTGAAGAGCTCCGATTTGTTAGTGAGAAATCTTCGCGAGCAGGAGTGCCAAAGCAAAAACTTTACTCTCCGCTCTATTATGTTATATGGGAGTGCTCGAAAGTGTTTTGATGTTGTTGTTGATAAGATAAGGCGGATAGGGAATGAAGGATGTTATTTTCATTTTTTTTTATGAGATTGGCGACAATGGACATCAACGAATTTATTTTCCTTTGCAGATTTGTGTTATACACATACAAACAAAAAGTAGTCGGTAAGAGTAGAATCTGCTCGATTTTGAGAGAATTTTACTCCCTCTCGGAAAAGAGCAAAGCATAATGGCTCTTTAACTCAAGTGGCTCAAAAAAATAGAGTACACTCAACAATTTTTTTACCCGCAGGAGTATTGAGATTGACATTGAAAGAGTTTCTCACTCTACTCGACTTCGATCGAGCATCTAAGTCTCCCTGAGTCCAATATTTTATTTTGCGGATAAAAAAGCTTTGGGCATGACATATGTTTTCCAGTTTGTGGCACGATTTCTATTGAATTAATTGTCCTTTGACACTTCTGGTATCGACCACAGCCTAGAAGTTTTCGTTTTTGTTTTGTTTGTTGGCTACTAAGTATCTCCTCAATAATTTTTCCTCCTCTGTGCAGTTTGGAATTTCTGTACAGAATCAACCTTCGAGCTCACGGTTTTAACCTCCTCCAAAGGATTTTTTACGATAGCCTCCTCAGCGTGTAACATGCCTCATCCATGAAGGGTTAAGTATTTGGTTTTTTCAAATAATTGATTTTTTTGACTCCTTTCAGAAGAAGGTCAGAGTACCCTAATTCCCTGTCCCGTCGCTGCTATATATTTAGTTTGTTCCTTTGTTTTCCATGAAAATTTTTTGCTCTTTGTAGTGCTCTTGGCAAATCAAAACTCTCGAGTGAAAATTAAATAAATTACGGACAGTTTCTCTGAGTGTATGTGCATTTGCCTTCCTCTCTCTGCTCCTCTCTCTCACACTCACCCATTTCACACTCATTCGACTACCTTCACTCCACAGCATGCAATGGAGTTTAGAGTTGTCTATGCATTCATGCGTTAAACTTGCACCATGACTTCAATTTCTTGCTTTTGTTGCTTTTTGTGTTAAATACGTAAGAGCTGGACGTTTTCATTTCTCTTACATGGCTGATGGTAACCTTCGGTCTGTGTCCACATCCATTCACGTACGGTGTAGCCAACAATTGCAGATAGCAAACAGCAATCTCTGGTTATTTATGTGTGAGTGTGTGTGTGTTTGTATGTGTGTGTGTAATTCGTGTATAACCCAAGTAAACGGCATTAGTTTCGATTTTTCATTTAAATTAGAATACTTTTTGGTATGACTTATTCTGCAACAACAACAACAGCAACAACAAAAACGAAGAAGAAGAAGAAGTAGGTAACTGCTTGCAGCAACATGAGTAACACAAAAAAGTAGGAACAACACACACACATACCCTGAACCTTAAACGTCATCCTTTTGCCATGCTAGACTGAGGTGTAATGGAGCAGAACATCGTCGTCATCATCATCATCGAGTTTTCAGAAAGATTAATGAAATTTCAGTTGTGGTTGGTTGGTTGGATGGCTGAATGGCTGGCTGTTCGACTAGATGGATGGGATAGGATGGCATGGAGTGGGGTGGGTTGGGATAGCTGGATTGGATAGATGGATGTCTGAGCTGGCAAACAATTTCTCTTCTCATTGTAGATCCTGTAAATACAGATGTACCTACCTACCCACACACACACACACACATACTCGCACCCACATACAAGTTGTGTGCATGTTGTGCGCAAATCATACTCAAACCTATTTATAATTTTCCATAAAGACTTTACAACTAAATGTAATTTAGAAAATTCCGTGGTAAATATTATTCAGCTGGAAAGTGCATTACGCTTAACTACACACACACATACATACGTACATAGAGACTTACTTGTTATAAGATACTTACATAAGATACATATTAAATGTTTCCTGGAAAGTTTGTATTTTATGTAAGACACTTAGGTTGGCAGGAAGTAATACAGCTATTGTTAGATTATTAGGGCTTCGTAATGAATGTGAATTCTATTTTCAGGATGAAGTTATTGCACTTACCGGATGTTGAAACGGATTGTAAACGAGGTCTCCAAAATCAATTATTACTTGGGGAGTAGTGTACGTCGGAAAACTTTAAGTTTACCGTGTATTAGTATTGGGTTATTTATAAAAGATTCTCAATCCTGAAACACTGATCATTCTGAAGAAGTTTGGGATATTTTGCGGGGTTTGTAGTAGGCCAAACGCAATTTGGTGTCGCGGCAAGTCTTTGGGAGCCGGGGTTTGTAACGCTGTCCATTTGGAATTGTCTTTTTCAGCAGTTATACTTTGTTACACGACATGATATAATCGTAGCCAAACTAAAATGTGCTTGTATCGCTTTAAGTGGCGCCCAATGTTTTGAAACTTTCTAGAGTTCGTTGAATGATGATCGAATACCAGGTTGTTCTTCTGCTTTTCGTTTTGTGTCGTGTTTTCTTATCAACCCTTAATGGGCTGCCAAGGGAGCAGCTTGACTGTCTACCACCGAAATCTTCGAATTTTATACTTTTTTCAAATTTTTTTCTTAAAAAAATTTCGTTTTTTCGTACGTGTTTCCTTTGTGGAACGAAGAGCAATTTGTAGATATGACTCTAAACTGGAGGTTTTTTTGGTATATTTTATACAGGGAAAGATCAAAAAACTCCAACAAACTTCAGACTGCTGTCATTTCTAAGCCACTCGTCCGACAGCTGTTAAAATTATTCCAGTGACAGCTCCTTATATTGTTTACAAGCGTACAAAAGCATTTTGCTGAGAATTTTCCAGAAAAAAGTTATTCGTGGTGGAATAGAAGCGTGATAGTGTGATTTCTTTATATTTGGCTCGAAAACCACAAAGCACTTCAGCAGTTAAATGTGAATAAATCTTTTGTGTCTCGTACCATCGCTCGTTATCGTGATACTGGTAGCGCAGCCCGACGTCAAGGAAGTGGAAGAAAACAGCAACATCAGCTGAAATGGTTTGAAAATTAAATAAGCGACTTGATCGAAACCCGTGTCGCAGTTGCCGAAAAATGGCTCGTTAGCTGAACATATCGTAATATTCCATTCGGAAAATATTGAAAAATAAGTTCGGGGTAGTCCTTGAAATTCCAAAAAGTACAAGAACTTATACCGCAACAGAAAGAAAATAAACTCAAAAGAGCTAAAGAGTTGCCTCGCTTGGCCGAAATTGATGAACTGCCGAATTTGGTGATCTCCGATGAGAAAATATTCGTTGTCCAGCTGTTTGTATACAAACAAAATTATCGTGTTTACTCGCCAAAGAGGTCAGCTGAAAATGTGCACCTTCGGTTGGCAACCAGAACTCAAGAGCCGACCATGGTGATGGTGTGAGCCGCCATAACAGTCAATGGTTGCTCTCTGCTCGTATTAATCGATCGTGGCATCAGAATAAATGCCGAATATTATCGCGAAAATATTCTGGAGGGTGTATTAAAGCCTTGGGCACGCAAACATTTTGACCGCAGACCTTGGGCATCCAACATGACTCAGCACCATCGCACTCAGCACGCGCCATCCACGAATGGTTACAAAATGATGGTCTCGCATCATTTCCAGCGCACAATGGCCACCAAAATCTCCGGATACCAATCTGTTGGACAATTGCGCCTGGAGTATTTTGGAAAGCAAGGTTGGCACTAAAAAATACCAAAGTGTCGATCCCCTCAAGCAAGCGCTTCGTCGGGAATGGACCAAACTACCCCAGTGCAACATTCGGGCAGCGTGTGACGGTTTCATTGGCCGTTTGAAGGCCATAATTCGTGCCAAAGGTGACCAAATCGAACAAATCTAAACTTATTCTAAAATTTGATGCTATTTCCGACATTTTTTGCTTTCATTCAATAAAATTTAGAAAACAATATAAAAATGATGGCGTTTGACTTTGTTGTTTTATCTCACCCTGTTCACTTCTGGTACAAAACTGTACAAATTCTTCTCCCAGAAATTCAGCCAAATCTTACATTAACACTCCCACAGTGACCCAAATTTCAGAATGTAGTGCTTTAAAAATTTTTTTCTTAAAATACGGCAGTATTCCACCTCTTCTGACCCACATTGATCCAAATTTACTCTTAGTACCCTTTTTAGCACGAATTTCATAAAAAGAAAGCCTTATTTCGCCTTTACATTTATATGAGAGAGAGAGCGCGAGTGTCAAATTTCAAGTTTATAGATTCTGCTGGTTTTATACGTTGTCGTTTCTCTTTAAGGATCCATTAAGGCGATATATATGGCACATTAATTTGAAAGGTTTTTTAGTCAAGTGGAACGGGATTTTTGCAGCGGAATATCTACATTGTTCGGGATTTTATTTTAGAGGCAAAGCTGTTCCTATATTTAGTCGTGATAAATTAATTAATTTTATTTAAAGATTTAAAAAAATTAATTAAAATGATTGAGCCAATATTGAGTTGTTTTTAGTGCTATTACTTATCTACGAAAATATCGTGGATTCAAAATTGCATTATTTGTACCAACATTGCCGGAAAAGATTTCCTTTTTCTAGGTTCCCCTATGAAGTAGTGCGAGATATCCTTTCCCCTTTTGAATAAAACACATTTGTTTTGATTTCCATTAAATTGTCTTTATATTTTCTTTTTCGTTCAATTTTTTTGAATTTTTCTGGTTTCTTAGTCCTTTTGTATTGCACATTAGTTTTGGTTTTCTTTTTGGTTTTTGGTAAATTAAAAAGAGAATTATGCTAAATATGTTTGATATTCTTTTTTCCTTTGTGGGGTCATTGGCTAAAGTAATGGAAAAACATTTAGAAATATTCAAATGTATGTGGGTTTCGAATACCTTGACGCCAATCAAACATTTCCCGAGTCTACTACTTAAGAATAGAGATTGAAAAAAAAATAGACAAACTATAATAATAAATATTGTGATTTAAATATTCTAAATGAAAAACAAATAAACTATATTCGATTCTTATATATATGTATGTATAGATGAATTAGAGGTGATCTACAATTATACATGTGATTTGATATTTTTGTTTTCAATTTCCATTTTTTACTTAAATAAGTCATAGCATATGTAGGTGTATATATATGTTTGAATAATTTTTTTTTTATTTTGCAAATTTCTATAGTAGATTATTTTCCTTTAATTTTAGATTTTTTATTTGTTAAGTTTTGTATAATTATAAAATATTTGAAAGAGGCTTGTTTTTCTTGTTTTTTTTTTCTTTTGTAGAATAAAAAAGTATTGAATTTTCCATCTTCTTTTGTTCCTTTTGATATATGTTTTTTGCTTTCTTCTTTTTTTTTTTTGTTTTGTCAGAGGGAGAGAGAGAATATATATAGAGTACTTAGAATAATATCAAGTATATGTATGTGTGTTGTATGTACGAATATATATGTTTGCATGTATCGTATCGTATGTAGTATTGTTCTCCTTCTAAGTATGTATATATAATTATATGAATGTTTTGTTTTTTATGTATATTTATATAGGTATTGTAAATTTCTGTGGATATGTTGAAATTCGTGTAATGATGAAAGGACATGGAAAAATTATAAGACATAGATATGTATGCATGTGTATTTGTATGTATGTATGTGTGTGGGCATACAACAATGATCCAATCAAAAGAAATCTCTTTGAAGTGAATTAACAAACAGATGGCCTTCATTTGTTTTTTTTTTTTTTTTTGCGAATCAGAATAGCTTCATAACAATTCAATTTTAATTTAGAAAATATTGGAATTGGAAGATATGGTTGAGGGGTGTTATGAATTGAAATTGAAACAATGCTCTTTTGTAATATGACTATCAAAACAGAAGAATAACAAGTAAAAAAGCTGTAAGTTCGGCCAGGACTGATTAAGATCTTCTAATACGAAATTTGAAACGATTCCGGTGAATAATGTTGCTGAAAACGTCAAGATACCGACTATCGGGAGGTACCGTTATATGGGAGCTATACGAAGACGTGGACCTGCACAGACAATTTTCTGTCTTGGGCTGTAGTATCCATTACAAACTTCAACTACCAAATTTGAAACAATTCCGGTAAATAATGTCGCTAAAATCGTCAAAATACCGAATATCGGGAGGAACCCGTATATGGGGGCCATACGAAGACGTGGACTTGCATACACAAATTTTTGCCATAGGCTGTAGTACCCATTACGAACTTTAAATACTAAATTTGAAATAATTCCGGTAAATAATTTCGCTAAAATCATGAAAGTACCGAATATTGGATATTCAATACCAAAAATCCTGCATGTAGACATAACATACATTTGAGCAAAATTTTTTAAACCTACTTCAATTCGTTCGGAAGCTAGAGTGATTTCCAGAGACGGACGGACATAGCTAGATCGACATAGAATTTTACGCTGATCAAAAATATATATACTTTGTGGGGTCTGAAATGTATATTTCGAGGTGTTACAAACGGAATGACAAACTTAATATATCCTCCATACTGTGGTGGAGGGTATAACAATGGGTTCCCTTAAAGATTGTGAATCAAATTGATTTATTCCACAGCATGGATTGTGAAAATCCACATTTGAAATTGAAATTTTTGCTCTGTCTAGTCCTGCAAGAATCTATTAAATTTGCAATGTTCTTCGAAATCATAAAGGGAAATCGGTTACCGTAGTAAAAACGTTTGCATACTTGCAGCTCTGGAAGAGGCCATTTGTGTTGAAGTCAAAATGAATTATTTTTTCTTGGAAGAAATTAGACCCACTTTTTAGTAGTTTGTGCAATCAAAAATGGATTCAAATCCCAAATCAAAAAATATTTATATCACATTTCAGCTGAAATTTATGAAATATTTTGATCCACTTCAAGACAACCCCACAACCTGAACCTTGAACACCTTCGCTTTTTTTTCCTCACATGTCCACCTACAATGCTTAAATTTGCTAGAAATTTTCCATTCTCTTTTCTGATTATGTTGTCGTTGTGGTTGTTGTTGCAATACAACCAGCACAGATTATTTGTCTGGCATGTCTGTCTGTCTGTCTGTTTGTTTATCTGTCCTGTTTGGTGCTGTGATTTACTGTTTGTTTTATGGCCATAAAATTTGCCTTTTCCTACTTTGGCCAACAACTCCATGGGAATGTGGACCAACTAATGTCACAAGCCCAACACAGACACACATACCAACAAACTTACAGATCGAATCGGACAATAATAACAACCACAACAAAAAAATATTAAAAATTAATTAAATATTATGCAAATATTTTCCATAAATATTAATTAAATTGAGTGTGTGTGTGTGTGTGTATGTATATAGGGAGTGTGTGAGTGTCGTTGTGAATGTGCAGGCGACTGTTTACATGTGCCCAGAATTTATGTAAACAATATTTGTAATACATACTTATGTTACATGGAATCACATACATATGTGCCCACACATGTAAATGTGTAGGCGATCAATGAAATGGTTTATTAGCATTCTAGAATTCCAGGGAAAAGGTGATTGGAAAACACTTAAATTGCAATTTTCCAATTTCATTTAAACGATATGTTTTTTGGGAAGGAGTTTGACTTTTTTTCCATCCTTGTTTTCATTCATTACTTATTAAGAAAAGGAAGCTCCATTAATTGTTTCTCCGGTGCATATTATTTCACCTTTGAGTGGGAGTATATGTGTGTCGGGACAGGGAAGGGAAGTTGGGAAGAAAGGAAATTTTACATTGAATTTCTATTTAATTAAATTGTGTTGTTTATTGATTTCTAAATTGTTCTTCAATGTCTTTGTGTTTATAATTTTTGGTTTCCTCTAAATTTCCATTTGATCAGAAATTTCTTTATTGTTTAAGTATGAAATTACAAAAAATTTGGTTTCGGTTTTCTTCTGTTTTTGGGGGGTTTCTTGGATTTTCTTTTCTTGGAATTTTCAACTATTTTACCTTTTCTTGATGATATTATTTAGATTTTATTGCATTCGTTTCATTCGTTTACACGATATTGTGTACTTTGGCCGACAGACAGTTGTGCAGAACAAATACCACAGGCTTGGGGCAGCACTCCATATCCAGTTCCTGCAAGAGAGGGGAGATTTGATTTTCACAAGTTAATTTCATTAAAATTTTGTTGAAGAACACAAGTTTAAAAGGGCCCAAAACCACAAGTTTTTTCCAAAAAAATATCATATTAAAGTAAATTTATGCAAAGATTTAACATTTTTAAAGCCTACTTTTTGGCGCTCCCAACAAGTTTTAAACTTAAAATATATATATATATATATATATATATATATATATATATATATATATATATATATATATATATATTTTTTTTTTTTTTTTTTTTTTTTAACTTAAAATATATAAAAAACTTAAAATGTATAAAAATATAATACACTTATTCTATATTACGCCATATATATTTATAGCTATGACAGCGCTACAATAAAAAGAAAAAATTAAATTTTTAAAAATTTTAACAATCGAAAGATTTCAAAGATTTAAAAAATTTTTTTTATTCAGGACTTTAAAAATTTCAAAATTTTTATTATTTTATTTCAAAATGAATTTTATATTTATTTCAAAATTAGTTTATCTCTTTCGTTTCATTGGAGTATCTCTTTCATTATTTTGTCCACCTATGCTTAAGAGTCCCATAAAAGGACGAACCTTTTGATTTCTAAAACAACTTCTCTTTGTTTTCTCTTTAGAATGTGTAAAACGGAGTTTCTGTGAGAAATAATTTATAAATATGTCTCATTATTTCAAACACACGGTCTTAATAGGAGAATTGCATTGGTTCCGTATATTCCCTCTCATTTTTTCTCAGACAATTTTCCCCATTATTCTCTTGTTAATCTTCATATTGTGTTTCTCTGAGTTAATTGTTCTTTTCTCTCCCATTATCTCTTTAATTCAATAAAGACCACATTACCCCTTTCTTTTTAACAAAAAGAATATTTTTTTCATAAACTACTACTTACAATTTCACCATCATCGCCGAAATCCAAAAATAACATCCGGTTCCCATCGTCTGCCGAACCGCGCAACTTGTCAAAGGGAAATTGCCACAGTTGAGTCTTCGTTTGGGCCGGTGCCGCATAGCCGCATTCGTACAGACAAAAGCCACGATTCAGATGCACAACCAATTGACACTGCCTGCCCTGGTACAGGCAACGGAACGAGAATTCACGCTGATAGTTGACCGCATTATGGGAGCCTTGAACCAGGGCACGGGCCCAGGCGGCCATATCACGATGGGTCTCCGAACGCAACCAATAGACCAGAACACCACGTGTTGTGCCGCATCTAATGCAGAACACCGTCGATTGTTGTCCCTGTTTTTAGTTTTTGTTTTTTGTTTTGTTTGGAGGAGAAAGCAACAACAAAATGAGCACACAATGAAAACAAAATGCCGTTAAGAGAAATTTCTAGCTGGCCAAAAGGTTGAAGGTTGCTGTTGTTATTGTTTTACTTACATTCAAAGAAGAATTATTGCCGGCACCTGCCAATCTGGTTGTGGCCAATGCAAAACTTTCCAAAGGTCGACCCCAGGCTTCCACCGACCATGGTGCACTTTCGTATATCCTAAAGCATTGTTGGCAGCAGAGGCAGCGAGCGGGGGAAAGGCATAAAATAAACGACGAAATATATTAAAACAAAAACAGGATAAAGTTGAATAGATGAATAAAACAAAAATGAAGGAATGAATGGAAAATAAGGTTACACATAAATTACATTTTGCTGAAACAAAACTTCAAAAGCATGACCAGCAGAAATATAACCCACAAACGCCAAATGCGGGGATTCCATAAAAAAATTGTTGGGATTTAGGCTATTAGAGCAGTATATTATAAAAATTTGCTTTAAATGGCCATCAATTATAAAATGTTATATATTTTTCTTAAAGAAGACATAAGTTATAACCCCCATGAAGTCAAAGATAATTTAAAAACCACATTGAAATTAGGTTAGATATACTTAAGAGTAAACATTATTAGATATAATGAGTTGCGTGCCTTTGGCAAGTCAAGGAAAATATTTTGGACAATATAAAATAGGCGTTAATTTGATACCTTTCACCACGAGAAAAAATAAATCCTTTGAAAATAGCAGTATCGAAATTCAATATTCGAGAGAATTCGATCTCACATTCGATACGTTTAGGCCCACATCATCGAAATGATCTCTCAAATTCGAGTAGAGAGTAAAATTTGCCAAATTGGAGGGGGACTCTCACACTTATTTTGCAAACAGAAGTACTTTCTAGTACTCCCACATAAAACAAAAAAAAAAAACTCGTTTACAAATATTTTTCACTTGCTACTAAAATTGAACAAATCTCAAATGTGATTACATCAGATGGACGTACAGACAAATTTGACCAAACAGGGAAAATCTCTTACTTTTACGATTTTTGCAAAATTCCTGTATTACCTCAAAAGTGAAGCATTTACATTAATATTTCATTTAACGAAGAAACACTTTATATCTCATATCAGATTACCAGGACACGATACAAACATTTCAAAGTTTTTTTTCTATCTACACGCAGAAAAATATATGTTAGAAATATGTTTGGATCCAAACATATATTTGTTTGGGACTGGTTGCAAACAAATATATTTTTGGATGCAAACATAATTTGTTTCGGTGCAAACAAATATTTGTTTGCAACATTTTGTAACATAACTCAATTTTATTTGTTAGGTACCAACATATTTTATATGTTAGAACATATTTTTTTATGGGTGCGGAGAGGATTTTTTTCAAAGAGCTAAACAACAGAGCTCTCGATTACTTTTGAATTGGTGTTATAGGTGACTTAAAAGAAGACAGGAGGGTGAGAAGTCTGTTTTTGCGTTGATGATGTGTTGGCTTGGTTGGCCGCACAACAAAGCAGAACCGAAACATTTTTTGCTCTCTTCCAAATATAACTGTAAATAGAAGTTGTATGTATGCATGAACATTAGTAAGAAGTAACGTCTCAGCAACAACTAGAAAATACACACCGCACAACAACAACAACGAAAAAACTTTTTGCATGTTTTTTCGTTGCTGTTGTGCGGTGTGAATTTTCTAGTTGTTGCTGAGACGTTACTTCTTACTAATGTTCATGCATACATACATACATGCGTTTTTCGCATTAACACCGACATATATACAGAGGAGTCAATTTTTTTGTGTGTTGTTGTTGTAACGTTTTCTTTCTCAAGTAGGCATTTTTTGGTGCATGGACAATAGAAAAGAAATAAACGTCTCAGCAACAGTTTCCATCCCTCTTGCCGCGCACACACCACACATAGTTACAGCAGCGATCGGCAGTGTTTGCTTGGTGAGAGCAAAAGAGCGTAACATTGGCGCGTGTCTCAAGTTGAGATGGGATGGAAACTGTTGCTGAGACGTTTATTTCTTTTCTATTGTCCATGCACCAAAAAATGCCAACAACAACACACAAAGAGCTGTTTGGATGTTTTTTTGTTGCTGAGACGTTGCTTCTTACTAATGTTCATGCATACATACATGCGTTTTTCGCATACACACCGATTTGCTTGATGAGAACAAAAGAGCGTAACATTTGCGCGAGTTAACTTCCGTACCGCCGAGAAATCAGAAAACAAGAATTATTCTGTTTTAGATGCCAAATACAACTGATCTTTATTCAAAAAATTCTTATATTTAAGTGATTTTACAATTATTGATTTTTCTTAGAGTTAACAAAGAACAAAGAAACATAAAATCTAGAGCTATCAAGAAAAATACTTAAGCTAAAAATTTGTATTGGGTACAGTAAAAGTAAACATTTCTTTTTGGGTTATTTCCGTCGTAGTTTTATTACTAGTGTTGTTATTGTGATGTTGAAGTGGAGAATTATTGCTGACGAAATAATGTCAACAATATTGGTGTTAGCTCTTTGGTGCTTATGACAATGTTGTAACTAATAATGATGTTAATAATAATGATATTAATAATAATGATGTTAATAATAATGATGTTAATAATAATGGTGTTAATAATAATGATGTTATTAATAAATGAGGTTGTGGTTGAAAATAATGAACTTAATAATAATGTTGTTTATTGGTGGCTGTAGGTAACTCGCGTGTCTCATGTTGGCATTCTGGTTGTGTTCTTTTTTTATTCTTTTTATTTGTTTTGTGCCTTCGCGTCGTGTCACAAGTGTTGTAATAAATGTTGATACCAACTGTTTTGGGGGAAGACAAATTATTTGTCGAAGCGCCGGAGCCTTTAAATCTACAAAGCTTTATAAAAGCAGCCAAATTAGAGTTAAAAATTGATGCCTCAAGAAAAATAACAGCCTTAGAGTTTGGTGCAACCATTAAAGAAGACCAGTTTGAAAAAGTAATTCATCAATATATGTCAACACCTACTTTTCATATTGAGTTGCAATTTGGAGGTAAGTACACTGGATTTACAGGCTGTTTCTTTATGTCGGAACAAAAAAAATTTCGTTTCAAAATAAAGAAACAGGCTGTTAATATTTTTTTCTTTTTTTAAATAATATATTTCTTTTTTTAAATAATATATTTAATTTTCATTTAGACTCCGTTCGATCAGTGGCATCAGCATCGACAGTTAGTAGCACTCTATCGGAGTGTGAATCCGTAGGTGGTTTTGGGGATCTTACCCCAAAAACAAATGTTATTTCAACTTTAAAGACTGACATAGAGTCCATCAAGTCAATTCCGGCTATCAACAAAATATGGAGAATTTTTATTGCCGAAAAACGCCTGCAAAATAAAGATAGGGTGAATATTTCGAAGGCCCTTATTGACGAATGTCTAAAAGAAGACCCTAACAGATTGTAAGTATTTTACTTTATTGAAAAAATAGTGATTGTAATAAAAGGAAAAATAATAAATTAATAAATAAAAATAATAACAAATATTAAGAATAATATTAATAATAATAAATTAAAAAATTAATATAAAATAAAAGTTTTATGAAAACTGGCACGATATAAATTATAAACTTATTAACAAATGTTTATTTTATTTTATCAATAACAACAATATATTATTTATAAAAATTAAAACATAATAAATTAATATTAGAAACATAAGAATAATTTTAAGCATAATAAAAATTGTAATAATTAAAATAATAAAATAATATCAGTAATAAAAAATTGTTAAAAATAATAATATTAAAATAAAAATTCTAATTATAAAGATATTAAAGAAAATAAAAAACTATGTTTCAGTATAAATTATTTATTTTCTTTAATATTTTTATAATTAGAATTTTTATTTTAATATTATTATTTTTAACAATTTTTTATTACTGATATTATTTTATTATTTTAATTATTACAATTTTTATTATGCTTAAAATTATTCTTATGTTTCTAATATTAATTTATTATGTTTTAATTTTTATAAATAATATATTGTTGTTATTGATAAAATAAAAATGTGTTAATAATTTAATATTAATTATTAATATCAATATTTTTATTGATTTTAATCAGTTTTATTATTATTTTTTTTAGTATTTGCAAAAGTTTTATATTTTTTTGCTTTTATTATTTTTTAATACTTCAATAATTATTGTTATTTATTTATTAAAAAAAATATCTTTCAGACTTAAACGTGAAGATTTTGAAGTTCTGAAGTTATATTATATATTATAATATGTATGAATTTCTTTTATGTTAAATAAAATGTGAATATCAAAAATTGATTTTAAAACTAGTTTGCATTATGGTTGAATTATATCTGCAGTAAGTATACAAATAGACCCAATCATAAATTTATGTTTGCACCCCAATATATATTATGTTTGGACCCAAACATAAATTATATCTAGGTCCAAACACAACTTATGTTTGGACCCAAACATAAGTTTGTTTCCAGTCAAACATACATTATGTTTGGATCTAAACATAAATTATGTTTGCACCCAAACATAAATTATGTTTGCACCCGAACAAAAAATATGTTTGGACCCAAACATTAATTATGTTTGGACCCAAACATTAATTATGTTTGGACCCAAACATTAATTATGTTTGGACCCAAACATAATTTGTTTGCAGCACCCAAACATATGTTATGTTTGGGAATGTTTGCAAACATATATTTGTTTGCTGCAAAATATGTTTGGGACATATGTTAGAGAGGCTTATATTTTTTTGCGTGTACATGTCAGCAATATCTCAGAGCAAAATTATTGGGATACTGTCAATCACATATTTTCCTCTCATTCCCAAAGGGTTACAGCCAGCTGTCAAAATTGAATGACAGAAAACATCAAAAGATAAAACAATAAAAATATATATTTTAAATGGCTATAAGGATATTATTTTACGATCGAAAAATAGAAGAACCCTTTTTATTGAAATGTCTCCAAGGCAATTTAAGCGTTTCTTTTTTTTCGTTACATTTCTTTTTGTTGTTAAACAAACTTTTGGATATTTAACATTTTTCTTTTTCTTTCTGAAAAAATTCCCGCATTATTGCTAAAGCAGCAGCGGCGGCGCCCTAAGATAAGAAGTTCTACACAACAAAATAATATTCATTAATCTTGTACAGATTTATTTCATTGGATTTTTGGCCTTTGGCTTTGTATCATTTGCTGCGCCCAAAGTACTTTTCCAACTTGTTTTGCTCTTTTTTTCAATGCTTTTTTTGGTGATCCAACTTTTTTCTTCTTCTTCCTCTTCATTGGTGTTACTGCTGCCAATACGTGTTATTAACTTCAGTCGTTTTGTCAAGGCAACTGTTATTATTTTTTTCTCGTTGTATTTGCTTTTCTTCTCCACAGAGAGCTCATCAATCAATGACAAATTAGCTCCTTATTTCCCTAAACACAAAAACAAAAGATTTGTGTCATGCACACCACACCAACACCAATGGCAATAGCAATATTACAACAAAAAAACAAACAAATATTTTGTTGTCAGCGAAAAAAAGGAGATGATTATTTCCAATTGTTTGTTATTGTTGTTATTCTATGCTTAAGGATTTGTGTTGTTGGGGTTTTTATTTATTTCCATTTCTTTTGTTATTTTGCATTAAACAACAACAAGAACAACAACAACGACACATTTCTTTCGTTGAGCCATTGTTTTGTGTTTTGTTGATTACATGTCTTGCTCTCCCTACCACTCTTTTGTAAATTTCACTCCTGCTCTCTTTTTTATTTCTTTGGAATGCTGACATGCCATTCCAACAACACTCGGCAAATTCTCAACGGGAAATGCAGTATTTTTCAGGTTTTTTATTTCCTTTATTTGCTTTGCCGAGTGGGGGAGAGGGGGGTAGAATCTCCCACAGAGAATATGTGTGATCTCTTATCTGTCTTTTTTTTATATTCCAAGTTATTGATGGCTCTATGTGTGTGTGAGTGCGTGTGTGTGTTCATCTGGGCTATGAATAAATCTATGCCCATTTAAAGTTCTTGTCATTCTGATGTGGTTTATGAGAATTTTCTCCAATATTCAAGTGTGGATGTGTGTGTGCGGGCAGGGTATAGAATCTTTTTTGACACATGTCGTTTATTTGCCAGTTGTGTGTTTTTTCTGCAACTCTCCTCCTGCTCACTTGTCATCTGCATATCGTCAATGGGCAATAACTAAGAATTGAAATATTCAAAAGTGACAAAAAAAATTGAAAACTGCAAATAACAATTTCCCGCAATTTGACTTTTCAGCAAGAAATTTGTTTAGATGCATTCAGCTCAGTGCATGTGTGTGGGCAGACAGATAAACTTGCAAAAAAGTATTAGAAGCAGATGTCAAGGAAGGAAGGTTGGAGTAGATCAGGAACTTTTTGAAGGGGATGGAGTACAAGGTTACTGGGAAAATTTTTGTTTTAAAATATATGCATGTTTTTTTTTTTTTTTTTTTTTTTTTTTGAATAAAAAAAAATAAATAAATTTACCCTCAAATTTGTCTATTAAAAAGAGGTATAAATATGATCGGTGATGAGACCTTAAGGTCCTCTCTAGGAAAAAGAACTCCATAAACTTATATAGGCAAAAGAAGACCCCATGGGTTCTATAGGCATTAGAAATCTATATCATATTTAAGCTAAAGAATGCATCAAGGCCTGCAAAGGGCAACAGAAGCCCTCAAGATCTTCCATTGACAATAAAATGCCTCAGTCTCTTAAAGAAGACCTCAGGATAGACGATAGAGGACGTCAAAGGTTTTCTACAGGCAATGGAAGATCTCATGGTCAACCAATAGATAATAGAAGAGGTCTTCTAGAGGTGGTATATGACCTCTAGGATTTCAGTAGCCAATATAGGGACTCGAATTTATCTAGAGGCAGCATATGACTTCTAGGTCTTCTAGGTCGCTATGACTAGAGGTTTTCTACAGATAAAAAAAGTTAAATGGAATCAGCCAATATTCTTTTATTGCATTATGAAACCTTGACCCTTGATAGGAGAGGTTCCGAAGGAATGGTCCAACATTATAAGCTTTGAAAATTGTTACCCTTTGTAGGAGAGATATCAGAAGAGGTGGGCCGATATCTATAATCTTTATAACATATCTTCTGTGGCAAGAGATATTTGGATGTGCGAAATTCGAAAGAATCAGATGCTTATTTCGTGTTTGTGAGAGTTTTAATTATTCGAAATGTTGACCCATTTTGTGTTAGGTACCAGAAGAAATAGTCCGATTTTGTTCATCTTCATAACAGATCTTGTGTTGATAGAAGCATTGTGATAGCCCAAGTTTGAAAGTAATTCGATGCTGATTTCGCGTCTTATGAGCTTAATGGCTATTTCAAATTTTGACCCGTTGTGTGGGAGGTACTAGAAGAAGTGGTCCATTCAATCCGTGCTTCATACATGACCTTTTGTTAGTGGAAATATTGAAATGTGCAAAATGTGAAGATAATCGGACTCTTAGTTCACATTTTATAGGAGTTATAATTATTCAAAATGTTGACCTTTTGTGGGGGAGGTACCAGAAGGAGTCGTCCGATATCTACCATCTACACACCAGTTCTTGCTTAAGTAGAAATATTGGGATGTGTGAGATTTTAAAAGAATCGGGTGTTCATTTCGAGTTTTTGACCCTTTGTGGGAGAGGTACTTGATGGAGTGGGCCGACATTGTCCATTTTCGTACCGAACCCGGAACTAATAAATATTAAGATATGCAAAGTTGGAGCAAAATCGGATGGCCCTTTCTCTTTTTATGCAAGATCCATGGTCTCCTATAGGAAATAGAAGACCTTAAGGTCTCCCGTTGGTAAAATAGGACCTCAAGGTCTTCTCAAAGGAATGGAAGCCCCCAATGATTTATATAGGCGACAAAAAATCTCAAGGTTTTCAATAGACAATATGGAAATATAGGGTCTTCTATAGGCAAAATAGGACCACAATGTCTTCTTTAGCAATAAAAGACCTCAAGGTCTTGGTGATGTAAAAAAATAGATTTTCTCTTCAAATTTTATTCCAAAATAAAATTTTGATTTGAGTTCACATCTTGCTCTTTCTCAGGATTCTGGTGCATTTTTGTTGATGTTTTTAAAATACAAAAATGTTTCCCTCTTCCTTATTAACCCAACATTATCGAAAACACCCTCCAAAATCATCATCCTCATCAATATGTGAACATTGTATATTGCCTTAATAATGCTGACAACCCAACAACAACAAAAACTAAGAGAAATAAAAAAGCGAAAAATTTTACCAATGCTAACGAAGAACATTTGACATATTGTCTGTTACATGGAAAAATATACAACAATCTCAAATGATAACAATAAAAATAATAATAATAATGCTCATGCATATATATGAGCCCTTCAAGTGCACAGACACATACACACACACCCGTGCACACACACATGCACAGACAAATAAAATATCAGTTCTATCTTCCGGCAACAAAAAAAAACTCTGCCAGATGAACATCTGGACATATTTCTTCGTCTGACTTTTGTTATCGGCAGCCGCACAACAGCAGGAATGGCAGCAGCAGCAAAAAAATCCAATAAAGTATTTTCGTATGGTTATAAACATGGCCTCACACTGTAACCGCACACACACACGCACGCACACAACGAAATAGTTTTCACTTGTTATCTGAGATTTGTCAACAACAGGAATTTCATTTGCCAGCCCTCATTGTCAAGAGGTTAAATAACTTTTTCCATACAAAAACAACAGAAACAACCACATCGGCATCGACACTGCCGACTGTTTGCAGGAACTTTTAATTTAATATCCAGCAAAAGGCCAATGTGTTAATGTTGACAAGGAAATGTGTAAATGTGGAGACATTTTTCTTGCTGACAAAGGGAAATTCTTCAGATGGTGTTTTTTTTTTTTTTTGTTTTTGTAGGTCGTATTGAAAGATAAAAAAAAGTGAAGTAGCACAATTATACGGTCAAAAGTTCAGATTATATGGGGGAAGCCAATGGATTTAGGAGGAGAATAATGGGCAATAAGGAAATAATAATAAAAAATATACATTTAATTATTTTTATAAATTATAATAATATTATAAAAATATAATAATTATAAAAAAAAAGTTGAATTTTTTCACAGCGTAATTATAATATTAATATTAAGAACTGACCCTCCTTTCGTATGATTACTGACATAGATCATACGCCACCCCCTATTCCTTCCTTGTTAAACCGAAAGAAATTTCATTACAAGTTCCTCAAAGAAAACTTGGCGTTGTTGTTGGTCATTTCTAATTTTCCTTGTCCTAACTCTTTCTTGCAAAAATCTCCTCTTTTAATAAAGGAAATGATGATGACAAAGTAGATGCTAAAACAAGATGAATAATGAGATGTAACATAAGAAGAACATACCTTAACTCACGTTCGGTTACAGCCACAAATATGGGTTGCCATTTATCATTTTCATCAGAACTTTCTGAACTAGAACGACCACTTGGCTGTAAAGGCAGAAAGAAAAAAAAAAATAGAAAAAGGGGAAAATGAAAAAAACTGCATAAAATTGAAAAAGAAAAAATGCAGGGTTTGGGAGGATGCCCATAGAAATGTGTAGGAGAAACAACTGAAGAACATAAGGGAAATCATACAAATGAAATGGAACATAATGGCATAAGGATGCCATAAACTGTTGGACTCCTCTTTGTCTTTGTCTTTGTCTTTGTCAAAGGAAGACCAGCCGCCATCTGAAAGTGATATTTAGAGGAGTCCCGGCGTCTGACTCAAAGTGCAAATTGAAAGCAACGAACAAGTCCATTAAAGTTATCTGCCACTTACCACTTCACCACCGCTGCCAGCACTTGTTGTGGTACCTGTCATGGCATTATTGCCCCCGCCTAGGCCACCGCTTGCATTGCTCGCCCCACTGCTGCCACTTAGGCGCCGGCTTAGCCAGCCAATATGTTTCAGTTCGCCGATGACATTCATTAAGGCTCGATTGGCTTCCACCAAAGCCCGTTGGGTTGAGCCGCTCATGGCACTGTGCAGGGCATTAAACCACACCAAAGCCTCGGCCGAATCGGCAGCGCGCAATATGCACGAATGTACGCCATCCGGCGAATGTAATTCCAAGCAGCGATTTTCTGAAATGGAAAAAAACAGACGAAATTTAAATAAGCCGCAGCAGCCATCATTACCGACATTTTTGCCTAATTCCTTTGAAATAAATTTCAAGTGACACATGTTTGTAACACTCCAAATTTTACACTCTCCCTCTCTCATTTCCCTTCCCCTCCCCCATCTGTGACAAACACTTCAAGTCTCCTTGTGGAGTCATTTTAGTGAAAATTTTTTTTTAATCATCATCGTCGTCGTTGTCGTCATCCCGCCGTCGTCTTCGTGATTTTGCGAAAAAAATACCCCAATAACAGAGTCAGGAAGGAAACAGGAACAGCAGCACCAGCAGCCAAGTCATTAAAATTTTAAGTTGCTATAACTTGAAGTAGCTTCGTTCCACTCCCGCTACACTTTGCATAAAATATAAGCCCCAGATGTTTCTCTCAAGTGGCAGCGTATTTTCCAGCCAAATTACAAGGCAGTCTGGCCATACAATTGAAAACCAGACTTGCTGGAGCACAAAAAATCGGGAGGAGAATTTTCAAATTTCAATTTTCCTCTGCTCACTGTTTGGCAAAATGTTGTTATTTTTCCAGAGTTGTTGATGTTCCGCTTGCTGTTGATGTTGTTGTTTTTGTTGTCATAGTTGTTGCCTTTATTGATGATGTTGCTTAGGTTGCTCTGGCTGTTCGTCGTATTTTTCCATTTTAATGCAACAGTCTTAGATACATAAGCTTGCCATAAAAATCCAAAAGGCAACAGCTTTCCGGTTTTAGTCAACCCTACACAAATGTGTGTGAGAGTGTGTGTGTGAGCGAAGAACTACAACATTGTAACATTGTCAAAATACACTCTATGGATACCAGTTTGGTTGGTGCCTCTCTATCAAATTCAGGATAAACTTAAACAGCAAGTGTATCATTCCCAATTGAGTCATAAAGAGAATGAATTCCTAGTGGATAACATTTTGGGAGATATATATTTAAAGGGAGAATATCTCAATGATAATGGTATTTTCATAAAAAAAAAATTGAGATTATTGAGTCAGGAATACATTCTACAAATATTCACAGACATTTTTTAAATGGAAGAGAATAGGGTCGGGCAGAGAGCCACACTTTTTTGTTCTCCTAATATGGTTACTCTCTCATTACACTGTATTTCCGGGGATTCTGATTGTGTGTGTGAAGAGAATTATGCCTATTGATGTAATTTTGAGAAAAACATTTGTGATTATCTGTAAATCAAAGTCTTTGAAGAGAGGAAGAGTTCATATAGTGGAAATTTTATATGTCTACAATGGATTGACTAGCCTCTAAAATTAGAGGAACTTTTTGTTGATCCCCTAGGAAGAGAGGGCCCTTTTCAAGTCTTTAGCGGAGTGAGTGCTTTCACCAGGGATAAAATACTATCTTCAAATCTTTCTTTGACATAAGTCATTTAACAGATTTAACAATTAGCGATGATCTAGAAATAAAAGTGCCTTTTGTTAGTCTAATATGGATAGATGTCCTTTATATGAGTTCGGCGATAAATCAGGTCTTTTAGGAATATAAACCTTCAATATAAATCCCAGGGATAGATATTTTTTTATAGTTGTTTTTAATGGAACTCGAACTTCACGCCTTCCATGTGGCTTCTTTGGAAAGAATACCTTCCTCCATAGAGAAAAAATCACATAGAAGCAGGGCTTGAATTTTCTCATTTTTTACCCTCGAGGGAAACATACTTGCGAGAGGGAGTGCTCCAAGAATAGGAGTTTTACACGATGTTTGTTATAAACTCTTAGTATATGGGGGAGCGCTCGCGATTTGCTCCTATTTGAAAAATAGAAGTGCTAGTCAAAATAATCGAAACAGGGTAAGACTGTATTCCCGCTATGGGCAGCCTCGAACGAAAAAGTATAAACAAAGCATTCTAAGATTTTCAACTGTCATTTACTTGTTAGGACCAGAGAGTATCTTACCATTACTTATGAATAAAATTTTAGCAAGGCTGTTGTATTCTAATATTAAAGTCGGGTGTGTTTTATGAGAAACATATTGGTTTTGCTTTGGACTGGGAGGCGATCGAGTACAAAAGCCAAGAAGAGAAAAACAGCAGAAACAAGCCGTTTTCCCACTTTACTTGAATTCGAGCGAGCATTTCGGATCTGTGCCAAGAATATATCCAAAATGATTTCCAAAGTGAAAATTACTTGATTGGTCCTCAAGGATAAAAGGCCCTTTGATAAATACGAAGTGCATCTTTTGGCCCTTCTTCTTTTAATAATTTTTTTGCGGATAATAGGCCTTTTATGGAAAAAAATATTCAGCATTATGTTCAAAATTCTGAAAGTGTGGTCCAAAAATCTTGTATTTTTTTAGGAAGTTTCTAGAGTAATGAGAGGAACGATATTCTATTTTTTATTTCTATCCATTGTCTGAATCATATGAGTCTTGTAGACAAGGTTTCTGTAGAAGGCTCTGCTCAGGACTTGTGGTAGAAAAATAATTTTTAGGATATCATTATAGGAAAGAACCTTATATATATCCTGCGAAATTTTCTTTGGAAATAAGGCTCTGCTTATAATTTGTGGTAGAAAATCATTTTTAGGGTTTAATTATCATTTATATAATCTGCAAAATGTTCTTTGAAAATAAGGTCTGCTGCAAGATTTTCACATATAGCAGCGTTAGCGCAGAGAGAAATACTTCAACGTCCCTTCATCACAGTTATGGCTCTGATGGTACATGAACATTTTTCATTAAAATAGCTGGAGCTATACTCTATAAGCTCGAATTTTTAGTTTCTCTAAATTTTCTCCCATCCCGATCATCGTGAATAACTCCAAACTAACCAACTCATCAATATTTAAAAAAAAGAATTTCTCATTTATTTCTCGATAGTTCATTTCTCTGATTATTAAAAATTACACTCACATGAGAGCATAATCGTTAATTAAGAACTCATTGTGTGTAATTAAATGTAAATGTTCCTCATTTCACCACACCACAATTTAATTACTTGACAATGAGAGACAAACTTTTTCCAAAATTTTTTGATATTTTGATTATACTCTCTTCTATCTATTTTTCGGAACAATCAAGACACATTTTATGGTCATTTGGCAGAGAATGTTCCTCAGGAAAAAAAAGAAAAACTTTCAAGTCCCTCGGCACTGTTGCGTACAAAAACACACAGTGGAATTGCACACTTAACGCTTGTCGGCAAACGACAAGGAAAGGGGGCGGAACTAAACTCTGGGCACAGCAGTGTGGGTGGATGTATGTGTGTGTGTGTGCGGACGTGTGTTTACAGACTTTGGGAATTAATTAAGTTTTCTTGTTGTTTGGGGAATATTTTAACATCCTGGTAGACAAACACACACTTACACACATGCAAACACTTACACACATACACATACTACAAATAGCAAATAAAGCATTAAATGCAGCATAATTTGAGGCTAAAAACTCTACAATTACACCATCAAACCACTTTGGCAAATATTTTGCTAGAGATGGAGAGAGGCAGAGAGAGAGCGGGGTTTATAAATTTTCAAAGGAAATACTAATGTCACACACATACTACTACGCCATGTAGTTTATGGGTTACATGCCTGGGCTTCGCTTATTGCACATATGGTGGGAAATTTGCTTTTCTAAAGCTGCAGGTACAACATAGCGCCGCCATTCCCCCTCTTTATGTCCGTATGCCTCTCTGTCTGTTTGTTTGACTGTTTGTTTGTTGTATTGAACAGGGAAATAAACTACGAGTTAAATGAGTTTGTTGTGTTATTCTTCCGCCTTCCGCCATGGCCCTCTAATGGGGAGGCCAACACTATAGTTGCCATACAAAAGTTAACCCTAATGATGTTGCCATTTTTCCCGGTACTGTGGTGCTGACGATGATGATGCCCAAGTTTTGAAACTTAAATTAAGTTACAAAACTCCTAACCCCTCCACGGCACATAGCTTCACATTGGACCAGCAAATTCGCATATTTGCACAAAGCTGTTGTTGAGTATACAACAGCTAGTACAACAACTATATAAATAACAAGGCTTTTGTTGGTGTGTGTGTGTGTGCGTATTTGTGCGAGGCAGCGAGTAAATTTATTTGCCTCCAACTACAACTAACTACTCTCCGTCGAAACACATAGCAAATCATATCGAATAACGATATTAAAACTTATTGCAAGTTTTGCAATTTAAGCAAAAAAAGTTTCTATTTCCATTTTTTAAGCTGAATTATGCGTACATAATCGATGACAGGTTGTATAAAACGATTAAAACTTTTCCATTTTCCCCCAACGTCGTCTGGTCTGCCTGCTCCCAACGCCCAGCCAGCCAGAGCAAAATAAAAATCAACTGTTACACATTTTGCCACCACTACCATCACCCCCACACCCACTGCAAGTCATGGAAACCATAAAGTTTCCGATGGTTTTTCAAGTTTTGATTTGTAGTTTCAGCATCAACAACAACAACAACGCCAACAACAAAAACAACACCAAAAAGAAATGCGAAGACAAAAACTGAGTTTCAGTTCCGAGGAAATCATAGTTAAGTCAACATATGTTACCCAGACCATGAATATATAGCCGCATTGCTCCAGCATGTCAAGATGTGTCAAAACAAATTTGTATCATCAGAAATAGTGGCGAGAGTGATATTTCGAAGTGTTTTTTTGTTCGTGTTGACTTTTTCCAAATTGATGACAATTTATGGGAGGTCAACGAAGAAAAGAGGGAAGGATTAAAGAAAAAACTTCTTTGAAAGGATTCTTTGTTTTTGGGTTTTAAATTCAATGTTTGTTTAGGTGGGACCTTAATGGATGGTTCTTTTGACAAGATGAACAAAAACTCAAAACTCACCAGACTCAAATTTATTAAACTTTTGGTCTGTTGCTTTAAGAAATAGAAAATGGTTTTTTTCTACAATTGAATATGAGAACCTGAAAAATTACCTCTCAGCGAAGAAGCCTCGAAAAGATTCAATAAAAAATATACAATTTTCTTGTTAAGGTATATGGCAATTGAACCCACTTCTAAACTTCTACAGAGCTCGAAGTATTAGAATCTGAGTATATGGTCAAACCTATATAAATGTCTTAAAAGAGTTTGGCCTATGAAGCAAAAAAATAGTTACTAGTTTTGATCTACAAGCCGAGTACTTTTACACCTCACTGGAATCTCACCAAGACCCAGAATAGGACAGTAAAATTATGAAAAAATTTGCCGCAACTTCAAAAAAGTGATAAATTTGAAGAAAAATGTAAACCACAATTGATTAAATTTTTTATGGTATATACAGGGTGAGATAAAAAAACTGCAACAAAGTTAAAGACCATAATTTTTAATTTTTTTTAAATTTATTGAATGAAAGCAAAAAATATCGCAAATAGCATCAAATTTTAGAAGAAGTTCGAATTGGTCAACTTTGGCACTAAGAATGGCCCTCAAACGGCCAATGAAACCGTCACACGCTGTCCGAATGTTGCTCTGCGGTATTTTGGTCCATTCCCGGCGAAGCGCTTGCTTGAGGTGATCGACACTTTGGTATTTTTTTGTGCCAACCTTGTTTTCCAATATACTCCAGACACAATAGTCCAACGGATTGGTATCCGAAGATTTTAATGGTCTTTGTGTGCTGTAAATGATGCGAGGAACCTCATTTTGTAGACATTGTAGGGTGGTACGTGCTGAGTGCGATGGTGCTGAGTCCTATTGGAAAGTCCAAGGTCTGCGGCCAAAATGTTTGCGTGCCCAAGGCATTAATACACCCTCCAGAATATTTTCGCGGTAATATTCGGCACTTATTCTGATGCCAAGGTCTATTAATACGAGCGGAGAGCGACCATCGGCTGTTATGGCGGCCCACACCATCACCATGACCGGCGCTTGAGTTCTGGAAGGTACACATTTTCAGCTGACCTCTTTGGCAAGTAAACGCGATCATTTTGTTTGTTTTCAAACTGCTGGACAGCGAATGTTTTCTCATCGGAGATCGGAGAAAACCAAATTCGGCAGTTCAATGGCTTTACCCCGAGCTCATTTTTCAATATTTGCCGAATGGAATATTTTTTGGTCACTGTGACGCGGGTTTTGATCAAGTCGCTTCTTAACTTTTCGAACCATTTCTGCTGATGTTGATGTTTTCTTCCGTCCAATTCCTTGACGTCCGGCTACGCTACCAGTATCACGGTAATGAGCGATGGTACTAGACACAAAAGATTTATTCACATTTAAATGCTGGAGTGCTCTAACGATAGCCACTTGTGGATTTCCAGCCGGTACCTCAGAGGTTCACTCTCCCAAACAATACTGTCTGTGGCTTGAGACATTCTTAGTAGAGGTAATCGTTTTGGGTAATAACAGCAAATTTTTTTATTTTATGACAACGCCATATTTTTATTCGTACTAAAATCTTCCAGTAGTGGGAAATATCCGCAGGTATTAAGCTATAAAGAGGTTCGTACTGAAGGTTTAACACCTAATATAAGTTTGGATTAAAACCTGACGTCTCCCGCTTATCTGGAAGGTAGCATGATGGGATTTCACGATTGTGGGTCAGAATTTACACAAATTTTCATATCATGAGCACCAACAATTTGTACAATTGGCTCGGAATCAACCTCGATTGGGTATGGGCAAAAATGGTCTCTCTTTAGGCCAAACTAAGGTAAATGTTTTATATGAACTATGAGGGTACACAGGTAGTGTCTAAAACCAACTGAAACTTCTAACCTTTTCGTCAACAAGTTCTTCTAGTTATTATTTCTATTCTAATTGCCTTGGGTACAGGGGTGCGTATTACCATTGACGTGACGTATACGCTAACGTAATGAATGGTATTTCCTCGAAATCCTAAGATTTGTATAAATTTTCTAAAACTCACCTGGATCGATATATTTTAAATTCCGTGCCAAGTGCGTTAACTGCAGCGGTATGTAGCGAGTATCAGCTCTGGGTGTTGTTTTCGGTGCAGGTGGAGAGGCCGATACCCCTGGTCCCAGGGGGCAAAGGAAGGCTCGTTGTAATTCCCAGCCAACCTCAGATATTATGCTGGCTTTTCTAAAGTAAGGGGTAACTTCTCGTAAAAATTTCACTGGAAAAACAAAAGAAAATTTAGAAAAAAATATTAATAAAAATAGACATAAATGATCATAAACATTATATTCGAAATATATATAAACAATAAAATATTGCGTTTTTTTCATAAATTGCTAAAAATAGGAATTTAATTACAACCGCGATTTCAGCCTCCATAAATTCATTTCACATTTTCACAAATCTAGCCAAGACATAATCGTTTTATATTCCCACACCTCCATAAATTCAATAACTTTTTCATTATTAAAATTAACCAAAAAAATTGGAACTACAACAAAAAAAAACAACAATTTATTGTCACAAATTTATGGCCATGTCTTTGGACAAACAATGCACCAGACTATCAATATTTTGTAGACAATTAATTTTATGGCATTTTTTGGCTATCAAATGCGGTAACTGAAATTTATGTGGCTCGTAACAATTTCCTAAATGTAAATGTGTGTGTGTGTGTGTGCGAGTGTGTGTATGGGTGTGCATTTATGTTAACAACAATTTAAAGGGAATTTAGTTTTACATGACGGCCAATAAAACCACTAAAACAAGCGGGGCAACAACTTTAAAACGGCAACTATTGTTGCTGCACTACCAAGGAAGAGGACAATAAGGAAGCGCAGCAGTGGAAATGGCTAGTAAACAATAAACCTCCAACACACACACAGAGACACATACACTCTGACATACATATAGACAAAGCAAATAGAAACTAGAAGACAACATAATGCCACATAAAGAGCCTTCGCGAGTGAAATTGAAACTTTAAACCTCAAATGGCGACAACGCTGAGAACAGCGCAGAGAAAAAAATGCAACAACAAGGACGAAGACAAGCTGGTGGAGCTCAATAACGACAACGACAACGATGATGATGACAATCACACAAGAATGCAACCAAAGCAGTTGAAACAAATATAGCCAAAACAACAGCAACAACAACACCAACACCAATATCTACAACAACAGGGCCAACGACAACGGCAATAATGTCAACGACAATGTTAACGTGTAAATTCATTATGTCTTCCGTTTGACTTCCCTTTGCAATATTAGCAGCGGCAACAGAGCGACAGCAGTGCCAACCGGCAATGACGAAAGACAGCAGCAGCAACAACAAGCCCACACCACACTTGCAGCTGTATCAACAGCAATGCCAGGCGAAAGAAACCCAAAGCTTGAAATGAGAAGAAGGAGCAAAAAAAAAACAACAAGCAACCTTGCATTTGGCTTGGAAAATTCAACTTTTCCGTTCCATTCCACTTCCACTGTGGGAAAAACACACACACACACGCACTCTCGTTCAAAAAGCACCCAATGTGTGTGTACGTGTGTGTGAGTGCAAACTAGCAAATTTAAACGCTAAAATAAGGCACGCGTCAATGCAATGCTAAATGTATTTCGAGCATGGTGGTGAGTGTGTGTGTGTGTGTGTGTGTGCACATGTGTATTCCGAAAATTAGTGTGCCAATGTTGAAGCCCAAAAATATGCTATACGAGAAGAGTGCAACAAACACACATTTAGCAACAGAACCACCAGTTCCTCCACTCGACATTAGCAGTAGAACTACAGCCAGTACATTATCAATGAATGACAGTCCGCACATACACACACATACACACTTATATGGCACTTGAGTGAGGCAAAATGAAATAGTATTGGAAAAGTGTATTATTACATTCAAGACTTAGGAAAAATGGAATAAAAATTTGAAAAAAAATCATAATTTTGAAAAATATGCATCTACAGTAACTGAAGGGGTTTGGAGGTGATTTTGGAAATACGGGGTAAGATAAAAAACCATCTTCAGACTGTTGTCATTTCTAAACCACTCGTCCGAAATTATCCCAGTGCCACCTCATTATATTGTTTATAAGCGTACAAAAGCATTTTGTTGAGAATTTTCCAGAAAAAAAGTTATTCGTGATGGAATTCAAGCTTAATGTTGTAATTTCTTTATATTTGGCTAGAAAACCACAAGTGGCTATCGTTAGAGCACTCCAGCATTTACCGTGATACTGGCAGCGTAGCCCGACGTCAAGGAAGTGGACGGAAGAAAACAGCAACAACAGCAGAAACGGTTCGAAAAGTAAAGAAGCGACTTGTGCCAGCGTCGCAGTGCCCGAAAAATGGCTCGTGTGCTGAACATATCGCATCGCAATATTCCATTCGGCAAATATTGAAATCTCGAACTTATTATATCCCCAACACATAGTGTTGTAGGGTATAATGAACTCGGGGTAAAGCCATTGAAATTCCAAAAAGGCAAGAACTTACACCACAAAAGAAAGAAAGGAGCTAAAGAGTTGATTCTCTTGGCAGAAAGTGGTGAACTGCCGAAATTGGTTTTCTCCGATTGGAAAACATTCGTTATCAAGCAGTTTGTAAAAAAATAAAATTATCGAGCTTACTTGCCAAAGATGTCAGCTGAAAATGAGCACCTTCGGTTGGCCACCAGAACTCAAGCGCCGGCCATGGTGATGGTGTGGGCCGCCATAATAGCCGATGGTCGCTCTCCGCTCGTATTAATCGACCGTTGACAATGGAATAAATGCCGAATATTATCGTGAAAATGTTCTGCAAGGTATATTTAAGCCTTGGCCACGCAAACATACTGGTCGCAGACCTTGGACATTCCAACAGAAATCACCACGATTGCACTCAGCACGCGCCACCCAATAATGGTTACAAAATTAGGTTCCTCGATTCATTTCCAGCCCACAATGGCCACCAAAATCTCCGGATACCAATCCGTTGGACTATTATGTCTGGAGTATTATGGAAAGTAAGGTTGGCACTAAAAAATACCAAAGTGTCGATCACCTCAAGCAAGCGATTCACTTCGGAATGGGGCAAAATACCGCAGTGCTGCATTGGGATAGCCTATGACGGTTTCATTGGCTGTTTGAAAGCCATAATTCGTGTCAAAGGTGACCAATTCGAACAAATCTAAACTTATTCTAAAATTTAAAGCTATTTCCGACATATTTTGCTTCCATTCAATAAAATTTAAAAAACATTAAAAATTATGTCGTTTGACTTTGTTGCAGTTTTTTTATCTCACCCTGTATATGCACTGAAATGTAAGTATTCAGAGGTATCTTAGTCGGAAAACTACTTAAAATTTTGAAGATGTGTGTGTGTGTGTCTTTTTTTGGTTTTTTTTTGCATTTCTTCTTTGATTATTGAAAAAAATTGCATTTTGTCACCAAGTATTTTATAACCTTTTCGTATTGTGGAATAATTTGGGTGGTTTTTGCAATACGAAATTTTATTTACCTTCGCGGACATTGTTATTTTGATGGCTTTATATTTTTCAATAAAATTTGTTAAAAATTTGGTATTTGAAGTGTGAAGTGAAGGACAACTATTCTCTCTGATAGATATTTGCCTACTCAGGTTCAGATTTCTAAGCGGAAAAAATTTAGCACTTACAGAATTTATATATTTGTATATGATTTTTCGAAGCCTCTTCAATCCCCCAGCAGCCCGGAGACTATTCAACTCCTATTGAAAATTTTTATAATATATTTTGACCCTAGGTCGTATAATTGCTAACATTACGTATACGCCACTCTAATACTTTACAAAAAAAAAATTATTTATTGATTTATATTAATTGTGCCCAAAAGCTTTAACTTTAAAGGTTCTTATATTCTGGTCCCTATACTGTCTTTCTATATGTGTGGATATGTGTATATGTGTGTGTGCGTTTGTGAATTTGAAAAAGGCTTTATTATTGGCATTGGTGGCAAATGGTGTTTGGTGACGTTGGTGTTGCAGCAGCAACAGCAGCAGCGGCTGCTTGTATTGCTGACTTTTAAAAAGGAAGTTCGAAAGCAAATTAGTTCCGCCAAACCACAAAACACACTCACAATTAGGCACACTCTCTCTTGCACACACAGACACTCTTTCGCACAGATACCGACACCAAACCAAATGCCTTGAAACGTTTGCAATTTGCCAACTTTTAAATAATTGTCATAATAATATGAAAATATGAGCATTTATGTTGTAGAGGTGCAGTCATGGCGGATGTTTAAGTGAAATGTTGTTATTAAAAAAATGTGGGTTTGAGCTCCCTCCCCTCTCGCTATCTCTTTCCTTCTGTCCCTTTCTGGAGGAAATATGATTGCAGTATTCGTCAGCAAAACCCAATTTTATATGTTGACAAATTTCTCTCGGTTTCCAGTATTTCACTAATACTCCAATGTTGTTGTTGCTGCTGTTGTTGCCCTGCACAAAACCATATTTTTTATCTCGCTGCGGAAGAAGGTCCTTTACATGGTGCGCCAGACCATGATGGCATAGCATGCCATGCCATGGTATCTTGGCAACTGCAATTACGCTGGCATTTGCATTTTCAGCGCAATATAGAAATAATAAAGCAACGAAGCAGCAGAAAAAACCAACAACAAGAACAACAACAACGGCCAGGCAACCTTTAAGAGCTGCTAGGTTTTTGGGCGGGTATTTGGCAGTAACGGCAGACCGGAAAAACATCATCAGACCAAAAACGTATAACTTTTGTGTGCAATATACGACTATTGCGTTTTTTAGTTCGTTTGCCGGGCTCGTTGGCGGGCTGGCGCTTCGATAACAACCAAATCTTGTGTTTCATTACTTTTTGGCCGAAGTACGGAGGAGAATGAATGAATGGTGAGTGGGGGTTCACCCAAATGATGGAATTCTTTGTCGCGGCGTTTATTTAAGAGTTGTCAAACAAACAGCAGTGCAAACAATGGTATTTATTGCAAAATATTTGGTGATTGCTTTCGGCCAATGGAGATTGGAGAAATAAGGATTTTTTTTAATAAAAATTTGGATATCAAAAGGAGGATGTAAAAAATAAGACAGATCGATATAATTCCATTTTGTTCAATAGCAATATGTAATAAAAATTATAAATGTAGAGCTAAAAATAAAATATACGTGTCGGCGTTTTGAAAGTTCCCAATCGTTCACATTTTTTGAAATTCTCCGATTAAAATTCCTTGGAAC